TGCTGTAACTTTGCCATGATTGTCTGCACCAATGACGCAAATATGCATGTATAAGGTTTGCGGCATTTTGAGTTAAAGTTTTAGAAGCAGTTGAGCCCAACAAGTTTACTTACAGTATTGCAATACTCTCTGTTTTATTATATTTTTTCTGTTTCCAGATGCTTTTAAAAGTACAAACAAGCTCCATGTTCAAAGGAAAAAAAGAAAACTACCCCTTCAGTGTGTGCAGACCATTTGTGGATACCAGGATCTGTAAGACTACAGCACTATTTTCCTGACACTTGGTTTACTCATACAGTAGATTTGTATTGATTTTGTATGCTCAACAGAATGTATTACAGAAATATGTTACAGCTAAATGATGTTGTACCATACGTTTGCAATTGGCCTCAGTGATCTGTTAATAAAGACATTATCATTTTGTTAATTTAATCTTCTCTCATTGATCCTTAATAATGTTATTGGTATTTGATCAAGCTGCAGGAGACATAAACATCAAAGTCCTCCAGATGATTCAACATGAGCACATCAAGGTAAACTAGCATTACAGTTCACCTGTCGTCTTTGTCTTGCTTTTGTCTTCTCTGACATTCATGTCTGTCCTCCACAGTACAGCGTACCGGTGGTGAAGTACGACAGAAACGGGTTCAGGCCTCGTCTCCGGCAGCTCATCTTCACCCAGGAAGCTGCCTACCTGGTTGAAGAGGCCAAGATCAAGCAGCGGATAGATTACAGCTCTCTGAGAGGTGACGATCGAGACAATTAGGCAAAGAAAGCATCAATATCTATAGAGAGAACACTGAATAGTCACTTAAAACTCACTGTTATAGACACATGCTTTAGTGTTATGGTGTTATTTACATACGTGTGGTTTAATTGTGTCCATTTGTTTTCTCCTAGGTGTGTCGGTCAGCAACTTGAGTGACAACTTCCTGATCCTCCATGTTACATGTGATGATATCAAGAAAAAGGTAGATTTAGTACCTCACTGGTGTGTATAGATATCTTTAAAGCGGCAGAATTAGGAATGTTACAAAGATTTGATTTGAAAGGTGAAACTGCTGATGCCCTCTTTTCTTTTGAAACAGACGTCAGGATAACACAGACTGCCGGTGTAGTATTGCATATGGACCCCCTTGAATATGGACCCTCCCTATAAAATATGGACCCCCCACAAAAATGTGCATAAAATTTAGAGTTAGGATTAGGGTTTAGGGCTAGGGTTGAGGGTTAGGGTCCAGGCTGGGCAACATTGCGATAATAGCAATTGCCAGCCTTCTCTCCACACCTACATGGACATTCTCACCTTTCGGACAGAGGTATCGCTGGCAGTGCTACGCTCCAGATTTTCCATGAATATATTTTGGTTCTCTTGACAATTACTGCACAAAAAGGATGTGGTTCATTGTCAGTGGCTTTATCCACCAGACCAACCCAAGTTTGAAACAATACAATCCCGCAAAGATAATCAAAATGAGTTTGGACCATTTTCTTAACACTACCAGTTCTGTTTCTATCAGAAGTCTTACAGAATAACTTTAAAAGCCATGTTTTTAATGTGTTTATCGGCACTGTAGGGAAGACTTTACACTTGATGTTCATTGTCATCCACCAGATAGATTCGTTTGGTAAAATCTTCATATCTAACAGCTAAAGGACTGATGTTGTTTGTTCTCTCAGGGGGATCTGGTTCTGCAGTGTGACTACCTGTTTGAAGCCTTGACCAAGCTGAGTGTTATCACGAACAATCAGAACTGCATCAAAGTGGTCCAGGGCAGGTAAAGAATGTGGATTATTTGTGTTATTTTAAATAGAAATGTAAATGATATAAAACACAAATCACCTCAGTTCAATATGGATTTGTTTTTTTTGATGTGCAGTGTGCGATTTGACATCCAGCCCGGCAGAGAGGGCTTTGTTGACTTCAAAAGTGGTCAGGAGTCCATGGTCTACAGGGCAAAGAATGGCCACTTGACAGTGGTGAGTTTAGAGTTTAACATCATAAACATGTAAATGAAGGTAATATGAAGTCAACTGACAGAGCACTCTGTGTTTTGTAGGAATCAACAAGAACCAAATCCAGATGAAGATGCCAGCTCTTTGGCATAATGGTGCTTCTCGAAGTCTGAGCAAATCTTGAATCAACAGCCATGCTTGCTCTGTAATCCTGCTCTGTGGCTGTTTCCAATGACGTCTGTTTTTGTGTCAGCTGATTTTTACTTTTGAATCTTTATGACAATGTTATGCAACTAGGTATATGCTTTTATTACACAAGTACTGCCAACACTTTACTCATACTCATCGCAGAGCAAAGCCAGAATATCAGCAGCCCTGCTTGTTGTTAATATTTACAATTTAAATCATCTATCTGTAAAGTGCAGATTTAGATTAGTATAAATGGAAGCCCTTGTAATCTTATTTAGATAAAAACAGTAAAGAAATACATGTGTGTGAAGCCATGACTGTAACATTTATAATACCTCAGCTGTGCTGCACCTTTATATTAAAATACTAAACTACAAAGGACTAGCTTGTACATTTTTTGGAAGTCTGTTCAGTGCAACCACAAGACAAAACACATCAGCAGGATGCTGAAGGGTCTCATCACTATGTTCTAT